ACAATACTGTTTGTGGTGTTATTACACTATATATACACATTATATATAAGTATCTACATGTTTTATTCACCATACCTGTACAAATAAGTTGGTATGGTGCCCAAAGACCATAGTGGCCATCAGTAAACAACATGATATGTCATGCAGACGATGCACCTCCCTCACCAAAATGGTGGCTCCCAACATACTCCTATTGCTGTTATTACACTCTATACACACATTATATATAAGTATCTACATTTATGTTCACCATAGCGAACCACTAAGCTGGTATGGTAAGTCCAGTCAATAAAAGGTGGCCATGCAGAGTCAGAAGATGACGCCACCTCCCTCCCTCCCTCAGCATCACTCCTCCCACCATGGAGCACAGCACTAAATATAACAACAATCCTGCTATTATCAGAATCCTGGTCAGTTTTATCACAGTCAGGGGTCTTCTGTAATACTATCACCACTAAATAATAGCATGTACACATATATTTTGACATTTTTAGGCGATGCTGCGGTCACAAGCTAAACAGCGATGCTGTGAGCTCATGCTGCGTGCTTCAGCCTTGGTAGCTCACTCAGTACTGAGGCTCTCACACCCGGGAATGTTGCCCACGATTTTTTTTCTAGGTGGTATCTGGTAACTATCGGTCGTGGCTGGACTATAGCTGCCCCTATCCCTCGTGGGGCATTTAAAATCGTGCACTAGAGCCTCAATCGTCTATATATGTATTGCGCAGTTTCGGTAAACTTACTCCCATCGTCTGTACAGTATATGTTTTGCGCGGTCTAAGGGTTAAGCATCATCGGTAATTTCCTGTAGACGTTCTAGTGATCCTATAACGCATCATCCAATCTCAGAGTTTCCAAAAATCACTTCCTTAATTTTAACCATTCTACTGTATTTGCATTTTCATGATGAAACTTTTGAAATACGCTGCACATAGTAGGCAGCGCTTATCAGGGGACCAACCAAAGCATAGGGAGACCAGCCAGAGGTCACTCAGCTAAGCACCCGATCACTCAATATGATCATTTCTATGCCTTATACACACTTACACTCATGGAAAAGACAAGACAGGGAGAGTAAAGCTGATGGACACAATAGACAAACACTTCTTCAGGCCACATATCACAGAACCAATTACCAGATAAGAAAAGGATCCACAAGTAATACTAGACTGGCTGTTTACCCAAAATAAGTCAGATGTTTAGATAAGAGCATAAGGTGCCTCTAGATGACAACCCCTGCATCTTTGTGTTTTGAGTATAGTGGAGATAAGGTAGAGGGTCAGACCAAGGCACATGTTGAGGAAGGCAAGATACTACAGATGGTGAGGGGTTTATCTGCAAGCAGGCAATGGAAAAGAATGAGAAGGGAACACAAATGAGCTGGTGGAATTCATAGCCAGGAAACATGCAGATACCAGGTAGCAGAAAGGCGGAGTCCAGGGAAAAGGTTTCGAGGAAGGGAGTCTGCTGGGTCGACTCAGAAGCCTCAGTGAGAAAGCGGGGTTCAACCACTCCGCACCCGCAATGGTAAAGGCAGTCCCTCAGAGTCACCCGAGCCTCGTCCCGAGCTAAACCTCGCCCTGACACCCCGACTTTCTGAAATATTAAAAAGTTTTCTTTTGCAGACAAAGTGGTAGATGGTTGGAACAAGCTAAGTGAGGTGGTGGTGGAGGCCAAAACTATCAGTAGTTTCAAGCATTATATGACAAAGAGGAAGACGGAACACCACGAGCGTAGCACTCATCCTGTAATCACACTTAGGTAATTACACAAAGGTAGGAACAGCCATCAAGGCAAAAATCCATTTGAGAAATCGTGGCCCGAGTCGATGTCCGACCCCAGAGCACATCGGTCAAGAACTGATTTGCCGGGCCAGCTTTCCCCCCCCCCCCTCCCCTGGAGGGGGGGGGCTAATGAACGGGGGACCAATTGGACAATGTGTTGCTTGTTTGTTTTCTTTCTGGTGGGAGTTCTTTTGAATCTCTATCTTGCAGTTTTCAACCAGACAGTGGTCTATTTTGATTCATTTACCTTTCTGGGTGCTTTTCCCGGTAGATGGCAAAATATGAGATTCATTAAATGTAAAGTGTTCATAAGCCATTGCTCTCTGAACCTCTCTGAGGAACTAATATAGCACTATATCAGTATGGATAGCTTCAGGGAGACAAAAGGGATCCATGCAGAAAAGAAGTGATATAGAAGCATCAGTAATGAAATTCTGTAAGAAGGTTTTGAATGGTTTTGACAACAAAATCTCAGCTGTAACCTATGTGGTTATGCAATACTGTCACTTAAGCTCAATACTTTATGTATTAAAAACAGTGTCCTTAACTGGCTTGAGAGATACTTAACACTTTCGCCCGGGCATGACGCAGCATTGCGTCATCCGATTACTGTCGGTAATGACGGGCATGACGCAGCATTGCGTCATCCACTTTAAATAATCGCCAAAAATCAGGTTTTTATCCGATTTTTTGGGGACTGGTTTTAAAATGCGCGCTGATGTCTTCCCATTTTCTTTGTTGTGCCTCGTGGCCCGCAGGCGGCTCGGCACATGCCGTCGGCCCATTGTTTTCGCTCCACTGTTGTGACCGGTGTCGCCTCCCCTCGCATCTCAAACGTGTGAACATTTCGGCTATTTTCCGTGGCTATATTTCTTACTGCGGCTTTAGAAACTATCTACGCTTACTCCACGATGGATAGTGATCATGAACAAGGCCCTTACAGGAAGAAAATTGCGAAAGAAAGGCTTGAAAAGGGCGGGAATTGGGAGTGTAGCTGGAAGGCGTCTGAGCGCTCACTCGCAGCTAATGCGTGGCCCGTCTTCAACTCGTCGGCGGTTGGAGCGTGACCAGGTTTTTTATTTTATATGCTAATGTTCCTCTAGAGAATTCTATTGCAAACCCATTGAGACCAAAATGAAAGACCTAGGACGAAAATTGAGGTGACCAGAGTGAAAATAGTGAAAACATTTTATCGCGTTTGCACGCTCCTGGGTAACTCGTTCGCACTTTCTCTGTTTGCTGCGGGTACTGTAACCCCGCGATTATCCGGGATTCGAACATCCGAAAAACGACCTTATACGGCCAAAATCGTGAACGGATAAAGTTATCACAATATCCGGCCAAAATAGCCACAGGGACCGGATTAAAGCAGGTTTTCTGCAGAAATTACACTATCCGGCCAGTCTCCCGGATAATCGTGCCTTTGTCCGTATATGAAAACATGAGGCGGGCCATACGGTATTAATCCCGTCTGCCCGAGACTCGAGGCGCATGGTGTAGGTGGGGGTGGGGTGGGTGGGTGGTGTTGGGAGGGTGGGAGGGGTGCGTCAGGAGGGACTACCTGGGTACAGGAATTACCATTAATTTTAGAACAATTAATCATAGCCAAAAACAAATAAAATAACTACTAGTAATTATGTAATAACAAATAAATAAGTTTCCTAAAAGCATTGTGCACAGGCTGAAGTTTCCTTCAAAAATATTGTGAATTTTTTTCCTCCTGGCAGCCTACGTAACGCTATGGCTGCCCCAAGTGGACCTGTCCAACACTGGTCAACCCATGTGCGTCCGTCCCTTGTGTTATACACAGTGCTGCGCCATTAGTGAAATATTTTTTTAAATAACTTTTTTATTTTCATAGTAACTTTGAACATTTTGGCCAAGACTATGTCTGGTAGCAGCATCAATCGTTCTGGAGGTGTTAAGAGGAAGAAAGTTGTCCTAACAATAAAAGACAAGTCACAGTTATACGCCTCAACCAGTGCGGCCTCACAGTGTTGCGCCATTAGTGAAATATTTTTTTAAATAACTTTCTTAATTTTCATAGTAATTTTGAACATTTTTGGCCAAGAATATGTCTGGCAGCAGCATCAATCGTTCTGGAAGTGTTAAGAGGAAGAAGATTGTCCTAGCAATTAAAGACAAGTTACGTGTTGTTCAAACAGTGAGGCGTCACAGGCAGCCAAGCGCCTTCAACAAGTGAGGCGCCACAGGCAAGCCAAGCTCCTTCAACAAGTGAGGCATTATAGGCAAACCAAGCGCTTTCAACAAGTGATGCGCCACAGGCAAGCCAAGCGCTTTCAACAAGTGAAGCGTCACAGGCAAGCCAAGCGCCTTCAACAAGTGAGGGCATGCAAGCGCTTCAACAAGTGAGGTGCAAGCAAGCACCTTCAACAAGTGAGGCCTCACAGGCAACCCAAATGCCCTCAACCAGTGAGGCTTCAGCAGCTGGCAGTCAAAACTAACTTAGCTTAATGAACTGTACAGTAATTTTAAGTGTTAATTTTAGTGTTGTGTTAGTATAGGTTACGTAAATTGTTAAGAATTTTTAACTTCAAGATGTGTGGCATCAATCAAGAAGACGAACACCAACAAGGTAAGTTGAGGTTTCAAGTTGAATATTTAATAATTATATGTGGCAAGGCAATTCAAATTATGTTGTTTGTAGTATAAAAATAGTTGGAAATGGTCACTTTTGGACTCGTAGGTGAAAAAGTACCATTATCCGAAAAATGTGATAATCCGGCTGGGGGTCCTTCCCATATAGTCCGGATGATCGAGTGGAGACAGTAATTAGCTGGGCTTTTGGAGTTTATATGCATTTAGTGCTGTAGAGAATTCTATTGCGAACACAATGATACCAAATTTAATCTCGTAGGACGAGAATTAAGGTGACAAAGTTGAAGAGAGTATACACTTTTCAGAATTTACACGCGCTCCCGTGAAACCCTGGGACCCAAATCGCACAGTTGAGGGGTGGCGAGCGGGGTACGCCAAAGTGTTAAAATACAGAAGGCAATTTGTATCCCTCAGTAATGTTATCTCAACAATTCAAATCTTTAATATTAGAATACCACAAAGGTCAATTCCAGGACCTATTTTTTCATACTGTACATTAATGATATTTGCAAAGATTTATTGTATTCTAGATTTATTGTACAGTACAGTATTCTAGTTTTACCTAAACTAAGTTTTAATATATCAAATTTTACTTACACATGGACTCTAGTCCTTCATACTTGAGGTCCACTCCAGTTGCATCAATTGCCTCGACAAAAACATTTGGGGAATAATGACTAGCCAGTTCATAATCCCCATTTTCATCCTGCTGAGTCCAGACTTCCGAGCCTTGAAAACGAACCTTGCCTTCTCGGTGCACCAAGAAGTGTGCAGCTGCTAAATCAAATCCAAGCACAGCAATCCGTTCACGACTTATACTGTGGAAAGATTTATCAATAGCTGTATATAAAAGATTGATGGTGTGAACAGTTTCAGTCATGGATGTAAAAATTATATAATCAGATATATTGTGACTGTAACCTTCAAGAGAGGTATTCCTAGGTCATGGTATCTCAGAATACAGCAAGATGTCAGCCAAGTCACTTCAATATCACTCCTCATGCAGAATAAATTTGTTCAAAATTTCACCAATAGACCATTAATAGGAAAAGGAGACTAAAAATACACTACAGTATCTATATTCAAATGGGAAAGATCTCTAAAATGTTTATTCATCTCATTTATTAAACCTCCTTCAAGAAATACTCAGCTTCAAAGAGACCCCCAAATAATGCTGCTCTGCTTACTGCTAGTTAGCTGCCTAGTCACTAACTCATACTGCTACTGTACCAGATTTTTTATTGTTACCCCCATGAAGTGGCTAGTTTATTGTGCACCCCATACTCATTCTGTGAGCAGTAGCACAAAAATGATTACAGAGAGCATAAAATGTCTTAACACATTCGTCCGGGAACAACGCAGCATTGCGTCATTTTTTTTAGTAGACGCGATCCCGGGAACGACTCAGCATTGCGTCATTTTCGGCAGCAGATTGGCGGCGGCTTCGGGAGGGGCGCACAATGGTTTTGGATATTATATGCATATACTCTTGTAGGGAATTTCATTGCGGATACATTGATACCAAAATCAATGTAAGACAAAATAAAAAAAGACCTAGGACCAGAATTGAGGTAACAAAGTTGAAAACAGTATACCATTTTATTAGCGCTCACTGGGATTATGCTCCGTCACTTTCTCTGTTTGCTGTGGGTGGTATGCCTGGCTTTTGGACTTTATATTTGCATATACTCCTGTAGGGAATTTTATTGCGAACACAATGTTACCAAAACGAAAGACCTAGGACGGGAATTGAGGTGACAAACGTGAAAGGAGTGTACACATTTTATCGCTCTTATGCGCTCCCGGGTAACACGCACACTCACTTTCTCTGTTTGTTGTGGATGGTACGCCAGGCTTTTGGAGTTTATAAGTCTTTAGTCATGTAGAGAATTCTATTGTGAACACAATGATACCAAATTGAAAAACCCTGGACGAGAATTGAGGTGACAAAATTGAAGAGAGTATACACTTTTCAGAACTACAGCGCGCTCCCGTGAAACACTGGGACCAACTGGGCCTAGTTGAGGGCTGGCGGGCTGGGGCAGCCAAAGTGTTAATCAGACTTCAAAATAAATTTTTACATTAACAATTACATCTAACCTGCACACCTTATAATTATAATGTCAGTTAGTTAGACATTTTTTCATTACAATATTTATGTACAGTATTTACAATACATCATTATACTCTGATGGTAGGTTTTTACTAATACAGTACAACCTCGATTCAACGTACCCCGATTCAACGAATCTCAGGCTAGTTCTCACACTTTTCAGGCCGGATTTACTCACCCGGTTCGACGAACAATGGTTGGCCGAAGCGGGGGATGTTCGGATTTGCTTACGATGTCCAGATAGAGTTCACAGACTGGTGGAAAACTTTCCCATTCTATCACAGATTACAATTAATAATTCTCTCATATGACAAGTTGTATCACACAAGTGGACCACACAAGTGGACCACACACAAGTGGTCCACACGCTTACGATTTTGGGACAGAGTTCAGAGTGGTGGAAAACTTTCTCATTCAATCACAGATTACAATTAATAATTCCTTCATAAGACAAGCTGGATCACACAAGTGGACCACACAAGTGAACCATATGAACCAAACACCAGCCAGAATGGTCCAACCAAACACCAGGCAGAGTGATCCACACAAGTGAACAACTGAGTTTCCATGATTTTCGTTCACTGATTTGGGGCACACGTATCTTTGTACATTAATTTAAAGGATGACGCGTGATTACCTAGCTACATGTGGTAAAATCTTCTTATAGACATTTTCTGTGATGAAACAAGATGAGTGAGTGTGGACAGATAAGAAAATACTGTACTATAAACCTCACTTTACAGTGAGGTTTCACTCACTTTCGTCTGTGTTGTCATAGTTCAGTCACCCATGACTTTTGAAAGTTTCATATTAATAAATAATTTCTAAAACCAGTGTTTTAATAGCTTTTTACTATCCTAATTAAACTAAACTAAATAAAACCGAAAATATACTGTAATATGATAGACATCTGCTCTTTGAGAAATTACTGTATGTTATTGGAACAACTCCAGCGCGAGTGGACGGGTCTAATCCCTGTACACACGGCACCATGCGTGTTTCATCCCTCCCTCCCTCCCTCCCTTGCTCCTTGCTCTCTCCATCCCTCCCTCCCTCCATCCCTCCCTCCTTCCCTCTCCTTCCCTCTCTCCATCCCTCCCTCTCTCCCTCCATCTCTCAATCCCTCCCTCCCTCCGTCTCTCCATCCCTCCCTCCCTCCTTCCCTCTCTCCCTCCCTCCTTCCCTCTCTCCCTCCCTCTCTCCAGCCCTCCCTCCCTCTCCAGCCCTCTCTCCCTCCAGCCCTCTCTCCCTCCCTCCCTCTCTCCAGCCCTCCCTCGCTCTCTCCATCCCTCCCTCCCTCTCTACATCCCTCCCTCACTCTCTCCATCCCTCTCTCCCTCTCTCCATCCCTCGCTCTCCATCCCCCTCTCTCCCCATCCATCCCTCCATCTCTCCATCCCCCCCTCTCTCTCTCCATCCCCCCCTCCCTCCCTCCCTCCCTCCCTCCCTCTCTCTCTCCATCCATCCCCTTTCTCCCTCCATCCATCCAAAATTTAAGAAACAAATCAAGTTTAAAAAATCCAGCGTTGAATGTAATGAAACGCCATTTTCTGGGTGAGTCCCAGAGGCTCCCCGGAGCTATCCATGCTGAATGGATATGTATAACTTTCTGGCATCAGTCAATGCATGGAGTTCTTGCCTACCGGGGACCACGAGCCAGAACCTGGCCCCCTCTAGAGAGGCTCGAGGAGCAATGGCCTATAGAGACCCCCCTTATGATTGGGAGCATTCTATGTCTGCCATCGACCGGGACAGGCACCCAGAAAGGTAGGCGCCCCAAAACAAACCCCTATTCTGGTAAACTATTGCGACCGAAGACCGAACAGGTGGATAGAACTCCCCAAACGAAAATTAGCCCTCATGACGTCATCATGTCGCCGCGCCGCCATCTGCGCAAACCCCCTCCTCCCCGGGAGGGGGAAGGGGGAAGCCCCAGACCCCACCGTCGGCGACCCAACCATTAGTTCTTAGGCTGGATGTCAAAAACGCGAAAAACACCACCGACTGGAGGGAGGGAGGGATGCCGGGGAGCCTCCGGGACCCAAACAGAAAATGGCGTTTCATTACATTCAACACTGGATTTCTGGGGGGAGCCCCGTCGGCTCCCCGAAGCTAACTACCCAAAGATAAGGAAAAACAGGGACTTACCCGGGCGGCGGTCCGTCCTCACTCCTCAACGCGAAGGCGAGACAACTGGCTGCAACCGTCGACCCAAAGCAACGCAGGCCCGACGAGGCCCAGGAACATTCACCAGGTAGCGAGCGGCCAGGACACTGTTCGATCTCCAAAAACCCCGGGCCCGAATGTCCACCCAAGACATATTGCCAAAGACAGCCGCCAAAGCAGCAAATTTACGAACGTCGTGGGCCCGGGGAAAAAATGCAGGCTGGCTACACTTAATAACCCTGTGGACAACCTGAGAGACCCGAGCCCGGGAACAGGGAAGAAGGGAAACGAGATCAACCCAGAGCGCATCCCCGGCAACAGAAGCCGTGGTGCGCAAATAACAGTGGAGAGCCGCAACCGGACACAACACATGATGCACCCCCGGCCTGACCAACCAAGCATCAACAACCCACGGCCCCCTCCGGAATGCAGCCGACTCATTCTTCGCCAGAAAAGAAGGAGACGGCTGCAAACGAACAAAACGACCACCAGGACCGAAAGAGCAGAAACCCTGGCGCCGGAGGAGAGCATGAAGCTCGCCAACCCGACCCCCCGAGGCTAATGCCAACAGGAAAAAGAGCCTTGGAAAAACAATCCCGAACGGAAGGGGCCACCACAAACCGGGGCAGAGAGAGAAACGAGAGCACCCGGTCCAAAGACCAAGACGGCTCAGGCGGCGCATGAGCAGGCCAGAGGTGAAACAACGCCCTGGACAACTTGCGAAACGGGGCGGAAGTAACATCAACCCCAAAAGCAAGCTGAAGCGGCTCTGCCAACGCCGCACGATACGAAGCGACAGTATTCGGCATAAAATGACGGTCCTGAAACAGCCAAGAGAGAAAGGACAGAACAACCCTATCAGAGACCGAAGAACACCGACGCAGTGATAGGAAAAACCGGAAGGACCGCCAGGAAACCTCATACTGCCGCTGAGACGAAGCACGCAGGTGGGAGACCAACAACGAAGCCACCTGCGCACCATACAACGAATGATAACCCCGAGTCAAAAACACCAGACGCGAAGACTCGAGGAGAAGATGGAACCAGCCTTGTACAGGGCCGGACCAATTTGCTGAAAGAGGCGGAGCCACGGGAAGACCCTCGGGTACGGACACCGAGCAAGCAGCGCCTGAAACCAAGGCTGGGCCAGCCACCAAGGGGCCAGAAGGACCACGCGACCCTGGTAAGTCTCCAAGCGAGTCAGGACCTGGAGCAACTGCGGAACCGGGGGAAAGAGGTACAGGTAATCCCACCTCGCCCAGTCCAGCCGGAAGGCGTCGACCCCAACGGCTTCGCAGTCGGGAAAAGGCGCCACATAAACTGGAAGACGCCTCGACCACGCCGACGCAAAGAGATCCACGTCCGGAGTCCCGAACATCCGGCACAGCCAACGGAAGGAGTCGGCATCGATCATCCACTCCGAGGACAGGGGACGGAACCGAGACAGGCCGTCCGCCAGGACGTTGGACACCCCCCGGACATGAACCACCAGGAGAGCCAAACCCCGAGAACTCAGCAGACGAGTCACCCAAAGTAACC